GGCGTCCTCCGTGGCTGAGGCGCGGCCGGACCAAATGATTCTCCACCGGGCGGCCGGTGGCGCGCGGTGTCCCGCCGGTGTCCCGCTGGTGTCCCGTCGGTGTCCCGTCGGTGTCCCGATGATGATGATGTTGATGATGATGATGATGGTGCTGATGATGATGGTGATGATGATATCGACAGAGAGACCGAATGTGATATCGATAGTGAGACCGAGTGTGAGATCGACTGTGAGATCGATTGTGCTATCGATAGTGTAATCGATAGTGAGATCGATAGTGAGATTGATTGTGAGATCGATTGTGAGATCGATAGTGAGATCAATTGTGAGATCGATTGTGAAATCGATAATGAGATCGATAGTGAGACCGAATGTGAGATCGATTCTGAGATCGATAGTGAGATCGATAGTGAGACCAAATGTGAGATCGATGGTGAGATCGATGGTGATATCGATAGTGAGAACGATAGTGAGACCGAATGTGAGATCGATAGTGAAATCGATAGTGAGACCGATTGTGAGATCCATTGTGAGATCGATTGTGATATCGATAAGGAGATCGATAGTGAGACCGAATGTGAGATCGATTCTGAGATCGATAGTGAGATCGATACTGAGATCGATAGTGAGACCGAATGTGAGACCGATTGTGAGATCGATAGTGAGATCGATAGTGAGATCGATCGTGAGACCGAATGTGAGATCGATAGTGAAATCGATAGTGAGACCGATTGTGAGATCCATTGTGAGATCGATTGTGATATCGATAAGGAGATCGATAGTGAGACCGAATGTGAGATCGATTCTGAGATCGATAGTGAGATCGATATGAGATCGAATGGGAGATGAGATCGATGAGACCGAATGTGAGAGACCGATAGTGAATCGAGAGTGAGACCCGATTGTGAGATCGATAGTGATATCGATAGTGAGATCGAAAGTGAGACCGAATGTGAGATCGACCGAGTGCGACGTTGGCCCCTCCCCCCCCCTCACCTCCTTATCACCCAAAGGGTGGTCGTATAGGTAATATTTCATCCGCTCGCCGCATCTGGTCGCCGTCAGGCGCGGTGGTCGGTGCGCCTCGCCCCCTGCCATTGCCGTGGGTCGGTCTGCCAGCCGCCCTGGGCGTGGCGCCGTTTTTTTTTTTTTTTTTTTTTTTTTTTTTTTTTTTTTTTTTTTTTTTTTTTTTTTTTTTTTTTTTTTTTTTTTTTTTCTCTTTTCTTTATATATATATATATATATATATATATATAAACAAAAAAAAAAAAAACGCGGGCAACCGTTCCAAGGCGCGGCCCCGCCGGGCCGGCGCCATAGCACCGGCGCGCCGGACGCGCCTTGCAAAACCTATTACACTTGGCCAGAACTAAGAGCTGTTCCAATCTGTTGGACGCACGGGATCCGAATATTTTCGCGCGAAGCAGCCAAACGCCGCGTCGGTCCGCAGGAGCGCGCGGAAAAATTCAAGGCTGGCTGTATTTCCATATTTCTGCTTGCTTCAAAGGTTCTCACATGTTTAAGAATTGGCGCCTCGGAGTGTTACTTTGCCCGTTCCTCGGAGATTCCTCGGGCCCCTCGGGCGCGTTTGCTTGTTTCCCTGGGTTCCTCGGGTTCCCCGCCCCAGGTGCTGCTCATGGTTATTCTGCCCGTTTGCCGGAAGTTCCTCGGATTCCCCGCCCCCGGTGCCTTGCATTCTTAGCAGTGCCAAGCAGTGCCAAGAAATGCGAAGCGCTGCCAAGCGCTACCAGGCCATGTCAAGAAATGCCAAGCGCAACGCCAATGCAACGACACATTTGCCATAATTTCGGTCGCGCCGGGCTCTTTTTCAATCTGCGCTGCTGCCGAGTGAATTGCAGCCAGAAGCCGCGACATGTTCAATCCTCTTCATTGTCCACGGCCCACCCAACTAAGGGGCCCTTGTCGTGCCGCAGGCCGCTTCAGCGTCGGCCTCCTCTCTCAGAGTCGCAAGCCTAGGCTTGCACCGGGTGCTTCCCCCGCCCAGACGCCGCCAGCATGTCGGCCCTGCGCGGCCGTTCAACAGCGCCTGCAAGCAGGCGAACACGCTGCCAGGTGACGACGCGCAACAGCAGGATCCAACAAAACCCCGCGTGCACCGCTGGTGCGCCTACTCTGATTGACGGGGGGCCGCTGTCCAGAAACGCCATCGCTCGCGTCGCAAGGAAATCGGCCCGCGCAAGCCGAGTGGCAGCCATGCACCGCGCAGCGCGTGCCGCCTGGCATGAGAACGGCCGCGCGGGAGCCGCCTGACTCAGGTCGCGCGCAGCGAAAAAACACCCACCTCGGCAACCAAGTAATGCCACCATTCCCCCGCCTGTTCCGTTGGCATTGTTGGCGCCCCGAAGGGCATCCATCCAAAGGTATTCGTGTCCCGCAGGTGCCCGCGCAGTCCGTGGCGCATGGCCGCCGAGGTGCCCATCGCTTCTAGCCCGCGGCCGCCAGGCGCCGACCGCGGCGTTGCAGGGGCCCTCCTGCGGGTCGGGGCGCAGAGTGGCTCCACCTTCGCCAGAGGCGCCATGCACCCCCGCAAAATATTTTCCAAGATGGGCCAGTCCGCCGCTCGTGTCCAAGCAGGCCTGAACAAACAGATCCTCGCCCATGGGCCCCTGCTTGCCGCCGTCTATGCCCGCCTTCCAGTTGATCCCACCGCTCTTGCACGAGGCCGTCGACCCCGGGAGCATCTCGAACGCAGACTTCGAGGAAATTTCCAAGCTGCCGAACCAACCACATTTGACGAAGTGGCAACCCTCGAGGCAGACTCCCGCGGGCGGGACGCGCTTGTCTGACAGCCAGGCCTTCAACTGGCTCGTGAACATCACCGCCTCTGCATCGAATTTCACGAGCCAGTTGGAAGTCGCATGCTTGCCCTCTGACTGAATGTCCTTCCAGGCCTGGTAGCGCAAGCCTAAGTTCAGCCAGGTGCCGGGGGGCGAAATGCACAGACTGCTGGACCATTGCCACAAGACCACGCGTTAAGGACATGGGCCCCCCGCCAGAAACCCGCGGCCCCGCGGAGATGTCCACAAAAAGACTCCAGACACAACTAGCAGAAGGGTGCCCCCCCGAAGCTGGGGCTGCTCTCGACCCTCGTGGCAACTGGCCGGCGCTGGAAGCCCGGAACCCAACAAAGGTTGTCATCTCTGGGGGGCAAGTGTTGCTTCCGCCGCCTCCGGGAATTTTCTGACCTGGGTCAATCCAGGCACGGGGCAATCGGGCCTTGCAGGATCCTGCGAAATCTTGCAGGATCCTGCAGGATACTGTGCCCCAAACCCGGGTCAGTGCAGCCCTGGCCTTGCAGGATCCTTCAATGTCCGGCGCTCTGACTGACCTCCGTTTGCATCGACCCCCGCTTCTTCAGGCCCGACGCCTTCCGCTAAACTTTCGACGGCGGAGGCGCCCTCGATTCACCTCAACCGGCTGCCGCCAGGGAAGAGATGGTAAGATGCCAATTCTTTCGGTTCCTCGAAGGCTGCGCGCGGGATGGGCTCGGGACGTCACGGGGGCGACGGGGGTCCCCCGTGCAGCTCTGCATCCGCCCCAACTGCGCGCCCCCGCCCCTCGTCCCCCACCCGCCGGAAGCGCAAAGCGAAAAACTCGCGGATATGTTCGGAGGCGGCGATCTCGACGACGCCGATGAGCGCCGCCTGGGGGCGAGCCGAATCGTCCAGGCCGTCGGGGCACCCTGGCGCGCCCGCCAGGTCAGTGCAAGCGACAGGGCTGAAAAACGGTTCTTTTGGCCCAAGTCGGGGCGGCGCGTTGCCGATGCCACAGGAGACCGCTGGTCTGGCGCAGCGGCGGTGCCAAGTCGGAGATGCGGCCGCAAGGCGCCAATTCCTGCGCGAGGCGGCTGAAGTCGCGGCCCTGTTGGTGCATGTAAGACGCAGCCGTAGGACGCTCGTCGTCTCCTCGTCCTCCGCCTCTCCTCCCATCATCACCATCGTTCCCATTGTCCCCATCATCCCCCATCTCCACCTTCTCGTCCTCCTCCTCCTCCTCCTCTTCTTCCTCCTCTTCCACCTCCTCCTCCTCCTTCCTCGTCTCCCCCCTCCGCTCCCTCTGCTTTTCCCACGTCCCCTATCATCCCCCCCTGCACCTCCTCCTCCTCCTCCTCCTTCTCCGCCTCCTTTTCCGCCTTCGCCTCCTCTTTTTCATGTCCCTGGCTCCTCTTCAGCAGTTTCCCTTTCAAGCGTTGCTCAGGCGCATAGTCAATTTTTGGGAGCTCGACTCGGCAAACTTGGAAGTTGCAATGCCGCCCGGGGCCACGAAGGGAGGCACAGTGCTGGTGATGGGCAAGGAGAAGGAACCAGAGGATCCCCCTGACGAGACAAACGCCTGCGACAACCGAGGTGATGCAGCTGGTGATGAACGGGAGGGTCAAACTGGTGGCTTAATCCTGGCGAGGCTGTACGCCGCTGCAGTGGTGACCATGTAGCACATCCGCTGCGGCAAGAACGCGTGCGTCTAAAAAGGTCGGGTGGGGTCGGTCTGAGCTGTGTGTCTTCCCGTCCTCTTTCCTTCTCTTCCCCCCTCCGCCCCCGCCTTTCCCTCCGTCCTGTGGCCTTCGAAGCGGTGAAAGGGCGGGCCATCATACGCCAAGAGCCTCAGGAACCGAAGAGAAAGTACATCTTACGGGGAAGGGCCTTGCAAATAGATGCAACTGTGTGCCCTAGGGACCTAATTGTAGGAGGTGTCGTGCGCTGCCATCGCGTGCGCCTCCAAGCATCTCGTCGGCAAGCGTGCTTGCCAACGTGCTGCCTCACGTTTCGCATTTATCTTACATGTGAGCTAAAACTCCCAGCGAGTAAGCCGTCGCGCGTAGTCCCATCCTTCTGCGTGTAAGACTGAACCAACATAATCCAGCACAATCCTGCCTCCTCCTCCTCATCCTCATCTCTCCCCTCCTCCTCCCTCCCGCCCTCCCGCCTTCCCTCCTTTCCTCTGTCCCTGCCTCCCTCCCTCCCTCCCTCCGGCAACGCCGCCGAGATCCTCGATCTGCCGCACCGCCTCCGCGAACATCAGCTGCTCGACCTCCTCGCCGGCGCCGAGAGGCCCAACCGCGCCCGAGGGCCGCTCCCCCCCCCCCTCCCCCCCCCCGCCGACCCCCTCGTGCGCGTCGCCCCCCTCCTCGCCCCCCCTCCCCTCGCGGCGCCTACCAGAGGGAGAAAGGGGGCAGGGGGCAGGGGGGGGGCCCAGACCCCCCTCGTGTCGAGAAAAGACCGCGACGGACACACAACCCCCCGGGCGGCAAACAAACAACTCAGGAAGAACAGCCGGTCCAGGAGAAGTGGTCTACACCTCGAGGAGGGAGGACGAGGAGGAGGAGGAGGAGGAGGACGAGGAGGAGGAGGAAGAGGAGGAGGAGGAGGAGGAGGAGGAGGAGGAGGAGG